TGGGAGCTGAAGTCCTTCGGCCCTTAAAGGGGAAAGGTTGCCTACCCCTGATCTATATAGGCCCATCAGTTCACATTTTCTTAGATAAGAGCATACCCAGAGTGGTCTTGCCCATTTGTTCCTCTGAAATGTAGCCTACCAAACCCTGGGATTCATTGGTAGTCTCCCATCTAAAGAGTAACCAGGGCTGACCCTCCTTAGCTTCCAAGATCAGCCAGGATCTGATGCTACGAGGGCATTTAGGCAACAAACACACACATGAGCATCTCAGAGAGAAAGGGATTTTCTGGACAGAAGGACAAGGATTGTTTTAGGGAGTGAGAATATTCATAGCCGGAATGAGCATAAACCGTAGGTTGATCAACCCTCTTGGTTTATTGTGTCATCCCGACCTCACGAACAAATCTATTTGTGTTTCTCTTCCCGGCCCATCTGTTAACCTTCCATATAAAGATGCTATGCAAACAGACATGCTCATTTTGGGCACAGAAGGAATACCACCATATGTGTGTTTGCATGTTCATGCATGCGTACATGAATATCCATCCAGACACAGAGGGGTGCGAAAATCTCCCAGCCTTGATTTCATGGTGTCTCCTCTGCATCTCACCAGCATTTGTTAGGTTAGAAAATATATGTGAGGATAAATGCACTTCTTAGGAGTGCTGTTCCTTCCCCCATGGAAATCTGCATACCTTTCTGCACAATTTTCCTAAGAAGTGCATCTATTCTCACATTTTCTAACCTAACAAATGCCTTCCTCCATTGGCCACATGTGTGTGGATATCTCCATCGTAAGCATTTTTAACCATTTGCATTTTGAAATGTTCTGCGTGCCTCATTTTTGCACAGTTTTTCAGAGACCCCCATATAGGCTTTGGAAAGGTGCAGATACTTGAGGTGAAGTATGTTTTTCACAACCCCATATACGCTTTTGGGGATGACATGAATATTCATTTCTCTACTTTTCCCTGCAGAGAAAAAGGAGTTTCTGACACCTGGGAAACCCTGGTGAAAATAATATGGTAGCAGCAAAATTCTGGGTAGTTTTCTCTCAGTATTTGCACCTTGGAACATGTTCCAGGGAATTACTCTATGCAGAAATATATAGTGGTTCTTCTGCACATGTCAAAACAAAACAAACAAACAAAAACACAGGCTGTTTTGAAAGCAAAACACATTTTCTGTGCAGGAAAGAAAGTTTGGGGGGTAAAAATTCCTCCAAAATTGCATACCCTTCCCAACTGTCCCAATTTGGCAGGGGTACTCTTGATTAATCCTCTTCCATCCTACTTTTTCAGCTGCCTTTAAAATGTCCCAGTTTCTCTCTCCTCCTCCTCCTTTGTCCTCAGCTTACTTCAGTGGTTGCAAAATGAGTTCAAAGTGCAAAAGTAGTCCATTAGCAACAAGAAGAGAGGAGCTGAGGCTCAGGCAAAAGCAAACTGCCGCAGCCTCTCCTAGCTTGTGCGTTCCCCTTCATTAATAACATTTGCAGCTTAACCACCTTCTGATGTCTCTTGGCCATATATGTCCCAGTTTCCATCTGTGAAATGTTGGAGGATATGAAATGGCACTGATTTTGGGGGGCATTCTTCCCACCCCAGCACTAAAGATTTAGAAGATGCAGAAGGGCTACCAAATGCAACAAAAATTATTTTCCATCCCTGCATGCACACACACAAACACACACCGCAAGAGTTAATTCTGCTCTCTTTAAGTTTTAAGGGAGAAGGCAGAAACTCAAGCTCTCGTCAACAAGGAGGAAATTCCACCTCTCTCTCTCTATTTCATCCATAATTCAGGAAAATGGATGCTGTTCAGGAAGTTTCAACGCTCCGCTTCTTATGCTTTCTGGCACATTTGCATAATGGATTGGCTGGATAATGGACTCCGCTTGGTTATTTAATAAACATGTTAATGATTTCAGACAATGACTCTTTTTTAAAAAATAAAAAAGGGACAGGGGGGAAAAATACTGCTTCCAAGCGACTGCGCTGAAGGAAGGCGACGCCGGCACCGGCACCACCACCGACAATAAATTAAAAATAATAATTAAAATGGAAAAAGACGCACCGAAAGGCACTTCCTTTCAGACTGCATTATGGGGGATTTTTGAGCCAGTATGTCATCCGTCACTTGCTACCTGCTGGTCTGCATTTAGTTCAGGATGCTTTTCGGCCTGGTTTGAGGCAGATGCCCATGCAAAAGGGAAAAGAGGACAAGAGGGGCTTCTTGTCACAAAAGGGGCCTGGGGAACCGAAGGAGACAAGACGGAGGCAGAGGCGGAGGCGGGAATCCAGGCCGAAGGAACTGGATGAGAGAAGACATCTCAGCCACCGAGTCCTCAATGCGGGGCTGTAGGGAAACAACCCGTCTCCTTCGATTTGGTTCTGAGCCGGCTTCCCAAAGGCCCAGTAGACAGAAAACATCACTTCCAATTTCGTATGCTCAACTACAGAGCCATCGCCATCTTGGGTTGCTTTCCCCAAACACAAAAATGCAGCGGCTGCTGTGCGGAGCGGCAAAGGAAAACCTCATTTGCCATTGCCCAACCTGATGGGAATGGAGGATTGTAGCGCTGTTGCTCTTGTGTGCCTTCAAGTCATTTCCTGGGGGTTTCTTGGCAAGATTTGTTCAGAAGAGGTTTGCCATTGCCTTCCCCTGAGGCTGAGAGAGTGCGACATGTCCAAGGACATCCAGCGGATTTCATGGCTGAGCCGGGAACTGAATCCTGGTTTCCAGAGTCATAGTCCAACATTCAAACCATTACACCATACTTGGCTCTCACATACGTACTGAGATATCTTGGAGATGGGGCCCATGCCCAAACATGAAATTCACTCATGTTTCATATACACCAGTGGTTCCCAAACTTTGATCCTCCAGGTGTTTTGGACTTCAGCTCCCAGAAGCCCCAGCTTGCTTGACCAACAGTCAGGATTTCTGGGAGTTGAAGTCCAAAACATCTGGAGGACCAAAGTTTGGGAACCACTGGTATACACCTTATACACATATTTATCCTGGAAGTAATTTTATTCACAATGTGAATAAAATAATTTTGTGCGTGAAACATAGTTTATGTACATTGAACCACCAGACAGCAATGGTGTCGCTATCTCTTTTGTGGTTAGTGGTTTGAGTCCAACACTCAAACCATGATGCCACGCTGGCTCCAAAATGAAGGGAAAAGATGTTCATGCAATCACCCCAAAACAGCCCTGGAAGGAATCGTTTTATGGGTTCAGTGGGGCCAAAATGCATTTTCTCCAGGTTTTCCAGGCCTGGCCTTTAGTCTCCAATTTTTAGGATTCATCTCCATTGCACCATGAGACAATAAGGAGGCAACAAGTCAGTACACCTGTGATTGCACAATCCTGGTATTTAGCCAAGGGTTGGTGTAGACCCAAACTTTGCTCCTTCAGGTTGTTTGGGACTTTAGCTCCCAGAATTCCTGACTACTGGCCTAGGTGACTGGGGATTCTGGGAGCTGAAGTCCAAAACATCTGGAGGAGCAAAGTTGGGGAATCGCCAATGTAGCCCAGCCATTGCATAACTGCATTGGTATACATTTGCACTGCGCAAGCATGATGGCGGATCTCAAGCCTTTCCAGTTTTAATCAAACCAGTGGAAGATTTTTGTGTCCAACTGCGCACTGTTTTAAAGAAAAGAACAGAGATACAACAAAGTAACCGCGAGTTAGCGTAATAGCTGATATCATGGCGAAAACGGCAACATCGAATATCGACACTCAGCAGAGGACTCCAGCTGAAAGCGTTTCTGGGGTTTGGACTAGGCTAAAACATATAATACAGGAGATAATTTTTCCTCCTTTTGGGGGAGGGAATGGTCAATGGGAGGACAACAAAGCCAATCTCCGGACTCTGTTTTAAAAAAAAGAAATATAAACACCCCAAAACCGACGGGGTACCAAGTCGGTTGGAAGCCCAAGAAGGGGGCTGTGGTTGCCACCCACCCCTCAAATTGCAGCAATTTGATACCAAATTGCAGCAATCACAAGGCATTGCAAAACCAAAACCCAGAAAGGAGGGGAGAAAAAGAGAGAGAGAAAGAGAAGAAGAAGAAGAGAGGGGACAACAAGGAGGAAAACCGCCAGCCTCCTTTTGTCTATACTTTAAAGAAATAATATTACAGGTATTTTAAAAATAGCTACCCAGCGCCTCTCGCACGTTGGTGCTGCAATTCAGGAGAGGGGAAAGAATCGATGGTGAAAGAAAACCCACAACAGCAGTGCCCTCTGCCACGGCCAATGGAGTTAATAGGAAAAGAGAGACAATAATAGGTTGTGTGCCGCCAAGTGAAAAGGTGGGAATGCAAAGGCTCTGCGCAGAAAGCGGGGAAAAGGGTGGGTTGCACAAGAATTAGCTAAGACCTGGATCCGATTGGGATCATTGATGCATTAGGAACATGGTCTCCCATTTGGACCACAGATCATAGAATCATAGCATCGTAGAAGTGGAGGAGACCCCAAGGGCCATCCAGTCCAACCCCATTCTGCCATGCAGGAACTCACAAACAGAGGATTTGCCATTGCCTTCCCTTGGCAGGGAGGAGTTTTGTCTCAGACCTCAATTGCTTTAAGGGGAAAAAATGGCTAATTGTATTCTCTAGAAAGTAGCGAGATCGGTTCCTCGTGGATTTTAAACCTTTCATTCCACCCTCTGGACGTTGGCGGATTTTAACATTAATATTGATTATTTTTTGGCGGAGTGGTGATGGTCTGAGATTACTCCAAGGAGCAGTGTTTTCATGGAAGAAGAGCAATTAGAGGGTATAAAGAGGGATAAGAAGTAATCTGCCACCACTTTTAAACTCTTCATAGTAGGAGTGTGTGCCTTCAAGTCGTTTCCGAATTATGGCGACCCTAAGACAAACCTATCCTGGGGTTTTCTTGGCAAGATTTGTTCAGAGGAGGTTTGCCATTGCCTTCCCCTGAGGCTGAGAGAGTGTGACTTGCCCAAGGTCACCCAGTGGGTTTTTATGGCCAAGCAAGGACTCGAACCTGGTCTCCAGAGTCACAGTCCAACACTCAAACCAGTATGCCACACAGGCTCTCTGATAAGCATACTACTACTACAATGATGATGATGATGATGATGATGACAACAATGACTAATATTATTCCTTTGGACTACAGATCCCAGAATTCCCCATGAGATTTCAGGAGCTGCAACCCACAGAAGTACTCTTTCAAAGCTCCATCCGAACCATCCAGCTGCACCATCGGCACCAGCCTCCGGGGCAGCCCCACATAACGTGGATTGCAGTAGTCCAGCCCTATGCCTTTGGATGGTGCCAGTTTTGCTCCAGTTTTGCATCTATGCGTCTACACAGTCCGAGTTTGCTATGAAGATACAGAATTGCACTTGTTTTCTACTACTGTACTTAAATGAGCCCTCTGAGTAACGTTCTAAAATCGAAAGCCAGGGTCAAACCTTTTAGGAAACACACCAAGATAATATTTGCCAACAATAATTTGCACGAAACCGATGTCAGGCCTGCGCCAGCCTTCAAATTTGGAGAGAGAATAAGGCGGTCTCTGAGACATCTATCCGAGGGATGCCTCCGCTTCATTAGGAAACCAGA